AGGTATGAAGTGATATGTTATAGTTATACTTATAGTATATGAAACGAGTTAGTTACGAGGATATAACACTGGCTTGGGCGACATCAAGGGATGTTTCTGCTAAAAATGGCGAGGCCGTTAGGCCGAGACAATTTTTTGCAGAAACATCCCGAGATGTCGCCCAGCCAGTGTTATATCCTCGTAACTAACGAGTTTCATATACTATAACTGTTTTATCGCAATGGCATAATGTTTTCTTTTTTGCAAAAGAAATAAGTAATTAAGTAAATTAATAAATAAATAAAAGTAAATAAATAAATCGTTTGCTACATTACAGTTACTTATTTTCAAGTTGTTTTCGCTGCCACAAAAAAGATATACAAAAGACATCAAATGTTAGAGTGCTACCAATATTGAATCAAGATTAAATGGCTTCTTTTAGTGGAAGTAATTCATTCAGCGGATGTACCTTTTGATTAAATAAGGGTAAACTTCATTTCATTAATTATCTTTGTTTATATGTTTCATTGTATTTATTTATTTTATTTTATTAGTTCCATTTTTTTTATTTATTTTTTTTTATTTTTTTGCTACTGGGAATGTTCGTTACCACTGCCCCATTGGAGCCTCTGTGAAAAAATTACATTGATATATACAAGGTGCGAAAAAAAACTCAACCGCTATATAGCAGAACAAAGAACAAAGGAAAAGGTCCAAACCATGCCATAAAGTACAGATGTTAGAACGTGAAATAGTTTGACTCTGATATCATTATAGACACTCAAAGAAGAAGTGGTGGTTACTTTCCAGGAGTCCACATTGACAATTTGGTGAGGGGGACATATTTTTTTCTGAATAAGTGACTGTTTAAAGAGCTACATTCTGTTCGGAGCCGTGTGTGCATGACTTGCCATTTTCTTCCACCTATGTAATAGTATTGGGGGCATTTTTTATATTACCTTTAAGTACATCTTATAGGTTATATGCTCTGCCTTCTATAAAATGTGTGTTCAGTTTCTTCATATCTTTCTATGAAACTTCAGTCGTATTTTTACATAACAGCACAGCATAATTATGTTGACGAAAAGCATATGATAAGTCAATTAAATAAACATTATAAAAAAGTGGCTTCTTTTAGAAAAAAAAGATACTCGACCTGGCAAACCTGGTGTGATTGTTCCTTGGTAACTTTTGAGCGTTCGATGAATAATCAGAAATACTGTCAATGCTTAGCAATAATAAATGCACACATATTTCCACTTACTTTGTTCACAGTTGTAAAAAATCAGCAATTATAATTAAAACAATTTTAGAAAAACTTTAAATTAAAAAGTTAAGTTTAGAAATAGCTGATACAAGTAAAGCCGATTCGGTTTTAATGGACATCGATTGCATGCTTGTGTGTTGTTGTGGGGGTGAATTAAACGTTAATTTTAAAAGCATTTTTACTAAACTTCCTTACTTTAAGCAGTAAATAACGACTAGTGTCACAAAAGTAGTAACTAAAATTTTAAAACCGCAGTGACTCTAAACCAAGATGTAAATGTATGTGTAGGTCGACTTCTATAATAAAATGTTCAGGGGTTATTATAAATAGACAAATAAATTCTTGTCATTTCTTCAACTTCTTGGAATAAAGTGATGCCGCAGTCAAAAGAGCCCACAAGAGTCACAGTAGATCGTGTACACCAAACTAAAAATGACAAAAAAAATCATTTAAGGTACCCGTGGCCTTTATTCGTCATAATCTAATGGACATGGCAAGTGTCTGATATATTCAACAGATATTTTGTCTTAACCTGAAATGGACAATTAAATGTTACTATGGGGTTTGATGCACGCATTCGAAACCGGGGCTTCCGGTTTCAAACGTACTATATGTATGCATTAATTTGAGTGGCGTAGATCCATCATGATTCGGCACGAAACTTCTCGAAGAGAGGTTACATGGTAAGAGGTCACCTTCTAAAAAATTATAAAACGGGATCATTACTTTATGTTAAACTATTCTTTACAAGTGCTATTATACTTCGCTTATGGATGTCATAAAACTATAACTCGAGAAGCATAACATCATGACCGAGAAAAAAAATTCTTTGGATAAAACATCTGCCGCCTGTCATTGGTCTGCATGAGTCATTCTATGACATGCAGCACGTGTATGATAACATAATAACACGAGTTCTTTGCTAAATCAATTCAAAAGGGCAATTTAGAATTCCCTAACCTATTGTTAAAGAGATATAAAAGAGCTGACAATGAAAAGCTTTGGAATTGTGCAATGTATTCGAGTTTGTCTAACGAACTGTTCATGAAACCGGTGTAATTGTGTATACAGATTTATGTATATACAGATTTCTCTGTTTTCCCCCTGATTACATTCAATCTGATTAATATAATCTCCTATCCCACCAGTAATATATCTTCGGCCTTTTATCCAAAGTATACGGGAAGAGTTGATGTATTATGATTGCCTCGTGCACGTTTGTCCAGGTTCTCTGAAAGTATTATGATCACTAATTGTCTAAAATTTGCAAGATTTGTTATGCATTTGTTACTTATTTCTATTCATCAATTCAATATAATATTCAAGTATAGAATATATTAATAATTATGTTTACTTACAACATTGCTCGTTACGGTCATATTTGTTCAGATTCAACGTTATTATTGAACAATCCCTTTCCCATGCTTCGGTATATATAACGTATATACACTGTGAGCAAACGTTGAAATGTGATTTGTGGTATAAGGGAAGCAACTCTTACATAACAAATCATGCAAATTTTAGACAATTAGTGATAGAACCTAGACAAGCTGACATCTATATAGGGATGCTAACTTTTCTTACATGTGTTCACCAATGCAGACAATGCACCCATCTCCGTAATTTGCTCTCAAACCATCCATAGCGTCAACGCTGATGAATGAGATCCTGCAAATAAAACAATTCATCGGCTCTGTCTGCTCGCCTAGTGAAGATATTTGCTGCATTTTAGCGTCGAATAAATCTAAGGGCAAAGGGAATTACGCTGAGAGCAATATGTGCGCGATTAGTACAATAATTGCACAAAATATTCAATTATGTTCAAGAAAAGTCACTCTTATACTTGTCACTTGGATGGAAACGATTTTTATTTTATATTCATAAATGAAATATTGAAATATATATATAAATGCATAAATTGTCATTTTTCGTATCTTCACTGTAAATATTTATTTTTCACTACAGTGAAACATGCAGAATTTCCGTATTTTCATTGCCGCAATACTTTCGTCTGAAAGAAAAATGCATATAATTAACAGAAAATCTAAGTTTTTTTTATATAGATACAGGATTTATTTTCATCTCATGGTAAGAAATATTTATATTCATTCCCCTCGATGAAAATAGATAATATTTATAGAAAGATATTCTCTATTTATTGCTTTCTCAGCGTTTTAGAATTGTGTAATAATCTATTATGTGTTATCCCAGGCACGCCTGTGAACACTTGACGACAGTTTAAAATTAAGAATTTCAAAGTAATAATTTATGTTAAAATGGTGCTGTAATTCTCACATGCCTAAACAGAACAAAAATCTCTGGCGTTTGGATTTCTTTCGTAATGGGTGTTGGGGGATAGGGGGAGGGGTGGGGCGAGAGGAATGAGAGAGATCATTATGCTATATTTAAATACCATGTCATTTATAGTCTAGTCCACCTTGGGTAATTTTGGGCAGTGGAAAGCCGGGCAAATCACTTTGCGTCTGTCTCCGAACTGCCAGTTTAATGCAGTGGTTCGTTTTGGCGCCAAAAATGGCCAAGGTGATTTCAAATCGCACTGCATATTGTTCACAACATGTCTGGGCCTTAACTTTGGGACATAAAATCCAAAATCCCTAGTTGTTACCTGGTATAGTGGTTGGGCCGTGTTTACAATTCGCCAGTGCATAAATATGACGTAGTTATGTACAGGTATATTAAATGATTCAATAAATGTCTGTTGCAGTTATTATTTTTATTATATAAAATCTGAAGTCTTGTAAAATAAAATGTGGCAGTCTTAGAAATTGAATTGAATAGACCCTTAATTATGTTTATTACCGTCTATATGTTATATAATAATAAACTACAAATACGGAATGAGCCTACTATATAGACCCCGGGGTCTTATATTAATCTTGGATATAGCCTGGGACGAAAGATCTTCCCAGATATAGCCCAATATTATCCTGGCTACTGTACCTGGTCTGTTTACACACGGTTAAATGCCGTGGTTAACTTTACTTTTTTTCTATCGGACCTGGGAAGAAAAAAGTCCAAAAAAAAACCTTTGTTCAACTTGTGTCAAAAACAAAAACAAAGTGTAACATTTTTCACATTTTTTGTTTGTTTTGTTTTTGACACATTTAATATGAACACAGGGGTTTTTATCAATCTGGTGATATTTTATCTTCCTAGGTCCGATAGGGGCCTACTCGTGCCTGTGAACTGTTACAGCCTGGGAAAAGTGTTACCTTCATCTTCATCTACACTACAACGTAGAGGAAAGAAAGTAAGACTTTTTTTCAAATATTTAGCGCGGCTTTCATTTTAGTAAAAGCTGTGCTTTCTATTTATATTAATAAGTATAACTCAAGTAACGATCATATTGTAAAATAGTTTGTTTTCACAACTATATAATATATAATATAATTTATACTGTAGCAACAAAAACTCAGTGTGTCTGTTTCCCGTAACCCGTGCCAATAACCGAAATAGTGCACACTTTGCCAACGTGTAACGAGTCTGTGGATGTGGAAAATGCAAAGAGTCGTTCTGATAAGAGGCATCTATACTGAAAGCATCAAAAGAAAATCGCCAAAAGAAAACTTGCTGTTTAAACATTCTAAGATTTTATTACAAAATCATATTTCTGTAAGTTTCACGGTTATACTGGTGATCTTAACAAACACCTTTGACTTTATTTGAAAATAATCCAAGTATACTGCGCTGTATGAAACACCTCATCGATGTACTAGTTTACCAGTGTGACACATAAGTGTGTTCTAAATTGACGTAATTGGGTCACGGGCTGCAAATCAAATGCGTAAATTTTAGTAAAATGTCAAGAAATCATATGTTACTGGGGATTACGGTAATATATCATCAGAGGATATTGCAGTTTTACTCCATACAAGTATATAACTCATAATTGGTAAGTGACATACTTTGCATTGCCTAGTTTAACGGGATTAGAAAAAATCGAAAGTGTAATAGTATCCGACTAATATTGCAATTCGGATACATTTTTCGTAAAAACACCCAACTATTGTGTAAAATATGATACCTACAACAATTATTTGTTTAATATATGCAAATTTTGCATTATTTATTAGATCGAATAATTATTACACTGCTTCATAAATAGAAATGTCCATAAGAGTATAGAATTGTTTTCATAAGCTGATCAGCTGTTTGTCAAGTTTTTGAAGTTAAGTAATTGAGTTAAGTAATTGGGCTCGTGACATGCCTTATTTGTTTACTTCCATGAGAATTAACATTTTGGACATGCAGTTTATATATATGCGCTAGTCTCAGGTCTAATATGCTATTAAAATGATATGCTTATAAGTGCTCAGGTCTTCAGTTCTAAAACAGTTTTCCAGAATTATATATATCTCAAGAATGCCAATCCCCTCCATGGGAAGTACATGTATATATGCTGTATAACTGCAGTAAAAGAAGTACATTGTAAACTAATTTGATAGAAGTAAACTTAAATATTTGGGTAATATATAGGGCCTAGTTTTTAAAGTGGACCACTTTTCGGACACTAGTATAATTAACATTAAATTTAAAGCTATATATCCAAGATAAGACCCTGGGGTCTAAACCAGAACTGAATTATATATATACAGATTCTGTGTTTGTGGTATATTAATATAAGATTTAGACAGTGATAAACATAAGTGTCTTTTCAAGGGTATTGCCCCATTTTGTTTTATATTAACTTTAGGAAAATGTTCATTAGTAGCCGAGAAATAATTAATATAATGGGAAAAGCAATTATTGAGAAGTAAAGAAGTAGTAATTTAAATTTAATTGAATCTGAATATCAGATTGTTACCTTCACAAGGGTTATGACCTCAGAAATTTGATTTCAGATTTTATTTTATGAACTTGAAATAAATTTACAGGAAAGGGCATTTAAGTGTGTACTACTGAATATTTTGTTCTCAGTTATTTATAATTTCACTAATTATGAATTTAGAAAAATGGGATAGTGTAGTTGATAAGGTGGTGAACATCGCCTCACTTGTTCCCCACAGCCTCACTCCACTCAAGACGTAATGTTTTGAATCCTGGCAGGAACTTTGGAATCATGTGTCATCCAACCAGAGTTAATTATTACAAAGGTCCAGTGGTTGTTTTACTCTGAACACTTGCTATTATAATGCCTGCAGATTAATGCATGGATTTGCACTTAGCTTCTTGACCTCCACTCACCACTTAGTTTGAAGACTGAAAATGGATAAAGTGGTTTAATGCATTCAGTTTTAGGTCTATTGTATTTACATGTAGCTATTTTATGATTAAAAAACTTGACAACAAAAAAAGAAAAATTAAAAAGTACTTTTTTAACTTGCTCCTAATGCAGGACATACAAATATATAATTATATTGATATTTTATTAAACCCACACTAAGTGGTGATAGATGGATGGGGGTGGGGGGGGGGGGTTCTGACTAAACAGACCTTTTTTTAGCCTGTATAGTAAACTCAGACTGCCTAAAACTGGATTTAGCTGCCTATTACTGCTTATTTGTGTCATTGAACAGAATGCATTCTCCTGCAGTTGTTTTCAGCATAGAAAACAAATGTACATGTAGTACATTATTAACAGAAATGTACGTGTGTGTCTTTTGTAAATCACAGACATTCTATGATATTTGTAAGTTGTTTACATTTTTTTTTTTGCTATCAAACCTTTTTTATTGTAAAAAAATACGTAAACTAACTATAAAACCTTAAGTTAACATTGTTAAATTAATTCAGTCAACATATAAAGCAAATCAAAGATGGAACATTCAAGATTTCAGCAAAGTTTACCTATAAATAGATCATTTTAACATGGTTAAAGTTTTTTTAAGGGCTAACTAATAATTTATAGTTTCATATATTGGGTCATATATTCTAAATAATAGATCTATTAACAAAAATATATTTTTCCCCATTTCTCAAATAAAGGAAATTTCAGTTACAACTGCCATAAAATCAAAAAAAAAAAAAAATTGAGAAAATAAATTTTGTATTATGAAAAGTGAAATTGTTTATATAAGTTAGACTTATTGAGACCCATGAAACTGAAAAAATCTTATATTATTGTCCCCAATTTGAATAAACAGATGATTATAGTGATTATAATATAGTGATATACATGTACTATATGTATATGTTAGTGTTCATCCGTGCTGTTCTACAGAAATTAGAAACTTCGACGGGAGCGATAGCGACAGGAGAATGTTTCTAATTTTTGTAGAACAGCTAAGGATGAACACTAACATATTTAGTGTCAAGCTTTATTTGGCCCTTGATTTCGTCACTACGCGGTACTATGAAGCACTATGAAAAATAGAAGGCGACTATGAACGGATTTCAATATAGTATCGACTTTTTTCTTCTATGAAAATTAACACACATAATTTTTAAGAAATACAGCGTTTTCATTGGATGACAAATAAAGCTGGACACTAAAGATTATAAACATGATGTTGCTGGCAGAAATTTAAATAACTGTTTTTGATATAGTAGAATTACTGAAATTTTTTTTTCTATATTTAACAGAATGTAAAGATGGGCTAACAGTGAGGGGATGGACACTATTCCAGGTTCTGTATCACTACCATTGTTAGGTATTGGTGTTTTTACCTTATTGCTCAGTGTGGTCTTCTGCTGCTATATGTGGAAGTAAGTTTGATTAATATTTCTTTCATCATATTTCGTAGAACATGTTCTGGTTTGTTTTTATTTGTTTGGGTCGTCAGACCAAACAAATAATGGTAGCGAAATTTCAGACTCTAATGCTGTTAATTGCAGGTGCCGAAAGTAGTCCGCTTTTTTGAAGCGGTTACTTCCCCTTATATTTAACACTTAGGCCGAAAAATTTAGGGGAGATCACTGCGTAAATATGGTCACATGACAGGCGGATTAATTTTCAAGCAAAATAATTCCCAAATGGTCGAAGATTTGTAATATTGTTTTATTCTCTATAAATAAACATGCTTATAGTAAGTGCCATGATTATTTACACAAGTGTTAAACAACAGTTAGCGTTGTTACAAACCCGAAATAGAATAATATGGTTTTCTTCAGGCTGTTAACATATAAATTCATCGTGGCTGAGGGGTTGGCGCGCTCGCTTAGGAAGCAAGAGGTCTGGAGTTCAAATCCCAATTACGGCTACTCTTTTTTTTTCAAATTGTTTAAGTCAAATAAACATTTGATCGAATATCAGTGTTGCAATTAGTCTTATAGCCAATCTACTAAAATTAAAACTCTGGAAAGCATTGGTGGCACTATACAAAAACAAATTGTTTTATAATCTCACAACCTTCACCTTTCTGACATTCTGACACCCAAACAAATTCAGCGCCTTCTGTGCTTTGATTGTTTTTTTTATCGCTAAAATGAATGTTTGTTAATTATAATATGTAACATTTTGAGCTTGAGCTTAAACTGTGGGTAATGTAAGTCTATTTAGTTATTTTTCTGTCAAATTTGTAAATTACAAGTTGCTTAATATCGGTATGTGGAGAAGGTTAATATTTTTCCACCATATTCACTGTGCATAGGGAAAGTAAAATATGGTACTTTTTGACTGGGTCTCACTCATTTGGGAAGAATAAAATTGTACACTTTTCTTTTAGGTAACTGAACTTAAATTTTACCCTATAAATAACAGGTTTTCTTCCATCTCGGATAAATAAATTTGTAGTTCTCACTCAACAGGGAGAAACAAAATTGTACCCTTCAAAAATTTGCTCTCACTGAAACTATTGGGAAATATATTTTTACCCCATATTTTTTAAGGAACAGTTATACTTAAAGTTATCCTCAAAGAACTAATTGGAGAAAAAATAAATTTTTACGTAGTTTAAGGTTTTGGTCTGGATGGTTTAAGTGTGTAGTGGATCAAGAAACTGTGATAAAATTTAACAGGCTAAAGACATTACATTATTCAAATGATGATTTTTTTCACATTGTTCAAGGTCACATTTTTAAGTTCAAATATCAGTACAGAAATCAATTGCTGCATAGAAATTTGCTCCATTTTTCATGTGATGTTGACCTTTTAGGTAAATCTGACAGTTTGTTTATAGGTACAATATGATTTATTTGAAGAAGACTTAGTCTATTTTTTTTTAAAAATAATGGGAAATAATTTGGTATCCAAACAGGTTAAGTGTCAATTTAATTACTCAACTGATATTTTATTCATTGCTTAATGGGGTAATTTTTGTAAAATCAAATGTATGAATGTCAATTAAAGTCTCTTTAAGGCCTCTTAAATGACAACAATTTTTCCTCTTAAGAAAAAGCAAGAATGATGTTAATTATATTTTTTTTAAATGGATTTAGATCAATTTAGATGCTTTAATAATCATGTGAAAAAAGTAGGGCTGAAAAAGTGAATGTGAAAAAATTTGTCAAAAAAGTAGCAAAATGTTAACAGAGTAACACATTGTATTTTGACTGGCCAAAAAGTACCATTTTGTAAACTGTAACAGTGCATTGAGAATAAAATACATTTGAGAAATAAAATTAATGGGCCTTTTATGTCTTGACCAGTTTTAAATATGGATATCTTGAGTAAAGCATCACTTCATTTTAATTTTACTTTATTACCTTGTTGTGTGAATAGGACTTATATATATAATCTTGAAATGTTTGTTTATATCGAAAAAGGTCAATGACCCTGTTACCATTTAACTTGTTAGTACTGTACAAATAAGATAAAAGTGAATTTGTTTGTGAAGCATTTGGTTTTTATCTGTTTAGATATTTACATACATTATTGTATGACGAGGATTTTAGAATGAGGATGATAATTTTAGAAAAAAATGTTTGCTAGGGGTTGATTGCTGTCTTAAACCTTTAATAACCTGCTTTAAGTTTAATAGCCACCAGTATGGAGCCAAGCATAATCTGCATATCCATGAAGTCTGACTCCGGATCTATACTGTTGGTAGCTCAACTTTTGTATTTTGATATTGAAATCCTTTACACTTTGAATGGACTGTTCCAAATCAAAAAGCTGGGAAAGTCCATTATATGCATTGTAAATTCAGCTAAGAGTGTTGATGTAATTTAATGAAAACTTTAAATGATTATGTCCCTTTAATCAAAGTTGCAAGCAATTTAAAGATTGCAGAATAATTTTCTTTTGTGATAAAAAAACATTTAACAGTACTGTTCATTATCTTTAGACTAATAAGTTATGTAACTCACAGCATTAAAATTTGTTAAAATTTCATTGTTATTATGAACTTGGTTATCTGCCATAAATAATTATGGCATTAGACCGCCTCCGTGGTTGAGGGGTTAGAGTCGATGACTTCTAATCCAGTTACCTCTCTGGGGTGGGTTCGATCCCTGGGAGATGCTTTGGTAGTTTAGCGCGGAGGAAGGTAGTCTAGTACTGGTGTAACTCTCCAGGAACGATGATGAGGAAACTACCATCCTATATGACTGAAATAATGTTGGAAAAAGGCGTAATATGAAACAAACAAACAAACAAACAAACAATTATGGCATTATTTATTATCTTTTAATATACACAGTATAGTGAAAATGACAGCATTTCTTGTTTATCTTTCATGAATTGTTTCGTCTTTGATACAAATGTATATAATTATGAAACTGACAGCATTATTTGTTTATCTTTCATACATTATAAATTATGAAATCAAGAGCATAATGTGTTTATCCTCCATGAATAATTATGAAACCAACAGATCTTTCATAGATAACTGTAACACTGACAGCTATATTTGTTTATATTTCAGGCTGAAAAGAGATGCAAGACAAGAAAGAGGGTATAGAAGGGTATGCTTTTGTTTGTAACAATCATTTAAGGCTTGTTGATATAACAAAATAATGCCATCAAAGAAGAAGAGCCTGACCCAAGCAGGCTCATCTGTAACATATTATCACCTGTTCAGCCTCATACAGAAAAATAGCAATTACAATGTACATGTGATAAAGGCATTGCTGAATTTTAAAAAATCTTGTTATTTCAACCATTATTATATACAGATTCCCAATATTGGTGATTGAATTCCTGATATTTGTTTCTCAGTGGGGGGAAATGTCAACTGAAGAAGTCAAACACAGTAACTGTACAAAAAATATAAATCACACCTCTTTGCATTGATTGGTGAAAAAAGGTGATATAAATATGTTGAATCTCACCTTTTGCTTGTCCTTATTTGATGAAAATTAATAGATGAAAATTAATAGAACACTTATTTTTCTATCATTTCAGATTGAATTTTCACCAAAAAAGAAAAATTTAAGAAATGATGTAAGTTCATGAATTTTATATTCATATAATCAAACTTAAAAGTAGCATTATATTAATTAGCAGTTAATTAATGTAGAAGTTTAAAATTATCATTAATCTTTAAATTAATGTGACCGCAGTTGTAAAAATTTTATGCCAGTATCGATTTTTTACCAAAAAAAAAAAAAAAAATTTGTGATCAATTAGTAATTAGAGTGACAGACTAAATTAGAGTGACAGACTAGCTTTCACCACTTTGTTCACTTGACAACAGTTTCAGTATTGAAATGCACACTTTCTTAGTTTTCATAAAAAATAAAAACATGAATCAAAAGTCATGCTGCTTTAATTCATTAATATTATTCTGTTATCTCTACATTAGAAACTTCTTTATATCTCTTTTTGAAAGCTGATTCAAATTTATAACATAGTAACCTAACATGAACCTGCTTGAATTAGTCTATACTTATTTATGAAGCTATAAGCTTATTGAAACACTCTGCAATCCGTTTCTGGAACCAACCAGTACTAAGCAACAAGTGAAAAGTTTCTTGCTGACAGAAACAATAGCTTGCCCCTGACGGGGTTTGAACCAATTGGCCGGAAATCCTCAGATGACTAGTCTGTCGCTTAAAAATGAAAGAGCAGTCTGACTATATGTGTAGTCTAAACTAAGCAGCCATACTTTATGTGTAGCTAAGAAATTTGTTTGTTCTTTTGATATTGAAATCCCGTAACTTTTAAATGTACTATTCTAAGGTCAAAGCCTTGCATATCCATTACAAGAATTCAAAATATTGAGTGTTAAACATGTATTTTAACTGATAAAGAATGTACAAGCTATGAAAATATTATTTCTGACAACAGGTAATAACATAGTATATATTTGTACATATTTATAGATAACAAATGTTTTATTTATTTCAGACTTGCCCAGTATGCCTTGATGAATTTCTCTCGAAAGAGAAGATAGCAATATGCACCTGCCACCATGTATTTCATTCAAAGTAATAAAATGATTATTTATTCTTTATATTTAATTATGACTTTTCAATTAATAACTAGCATTAATTTAATTGTCATTTAATAGAGAGAGAAATAGATATGATATTTTGTAAATAATATAGTATATAATTATAGTAAATAACTTGTATGGTAATAGAAATGAAACATTTTCATGATTTTTGCCTCTTATTAACGTTTAATATATTTAGGAAATAGATATCAATGTCGAGTGTGTTGTGTTGTAGAATGATTCATAGGTCATGTTCATTAAAGCAGTTTTATAATGCTGCACATTTGTAACATCGCTTTTCATTGGATAACACAGCTGCTGTGAAATTATGGAATAATTTCATGTTTTCCTCTAAAAATGGTATTATACAAGGGCTGGCAGTTTTGAGTTATAAACAATGTATTTCATGAGGGCTGGTAGACCTGAGTGATCTCAAAAACAGATCTAAACAGTCCTTACAACATAATCCCTTCTCAAAAGAAAACCCCACAAGCTTGCTCTAAGACCGTGCAATCTTGCATGTGGAGAAAACATACTGGTACCACTTCTTTTCGTCAGCCAAGTTGTGGTGTATGGTCTGTCACAGCTGTTACTAAGTCTCTTATATTATAGCTTTATTCCATATTCATTCAAAACAATGCTGACACAGACAGGATTTCATATGTCAATAAAAAAGTTGCTCTTTATTAAATATCAAAATATGCACCTCAATATTTTATGTTTAGCCATCTTGCAGTTATTCCAAACAGTTTATTTAACATTATAGGTGCCTACTGGAATGGTTGCGACACAAGAACAACTGCCCAATGTGTAAAGCACCAGTGCGTAAAGATACATCTGCTTCGTCGTCGCGCGTCAGCCCTGCAGAGACGACGGGACTTATACTCTCTATACCTCCCGCTAGACTTGACTCTGTGTCCGAAGAATAAAACCGATGAACAATGTTGATAGTATTTTACTCTATCTACAAAAGTGCTAATTTTATTCTTGAATCAGTGTGTTATTTTTCGTATGAAGTTTTTTTTATTCAGAGAGAAAAAACATTAGAGAAGACATGCTCATTAGAAGTGTTTCATGACATAAACTTTTACAAGTTACATGTAAGTTGTTCCAGTTATTTTTCAAGTTTTCGTAAAAGATTCCAGATTGAAAAAAAAACTTTTTCCCGGTTCAGCATTCAGAGTCACAATGTACCTTCATCAACAAAAGATAAATTGTTTTGAAGCATCCATTAACTGTAATTCAGAATTCAATTACTTCGGAAGAGTTAAGATTTCATGATCTGCTCTCCAGATTCAGGGTTTAGAGAAAATGTTAGTGTAAAACATTGTAACAAAGAGTTGAGCATTAAACATTTTGAAGCCCTTACAGAAGAGTGATTGAGAATTTAAAACCAAAGTTTGTCAGGAGAAAGTTACTTTTCAAAACCAAAGTTCGTCAGGAGAAATTTACTTTTCAAAACCAAAGTTATTAAGACAAGCTGTGATATAGTGGACTAACTGAATTGGACATAATTATCATATTTGCATAATTATGTATTTGTTTTAAAGGCACATTATGCCCCAGAAACGAATATTTTTTTCCTACTTTAGAAAAGGGAAAACCTGAGTTCTATAATGTTTAGATAATAGTTTTAGCGCTGTTAAATATTTATCACCTGAAGAATTTACCACTGCGTGTGGCATTATTGTTTATGAAAGTAATAAAATGTAAAAACAGTGGTATTGTGAATTCCATATAAAATACTTAATCACTGTAACTGTACTTACTGCCAAAAAGAAACAAAAGATGGTTAGAGAATTGTTCAATGAGTAACATTTTGAAACAATGAAAGGACACCAAAAGTGAAAAAGCATTTTAGAAATAGAATTAACAGCATTTCTGTAGCATAATTTGCCTTTAAGGTAGATTTTAGAAAGCTGTATATACGTGTATCAGGGGTTTGAATAGTAATCAGTAGAACAGTTGAAAGTAAATTTGTGGTCAAAATCATAACAAAGAACAACTTCCTTAAGCAAGCTGAACAATGTGCAAAATATTAGATTGGAGCAGACATTTCTTAATCAATATTAATATTTCTTTCAAGTTTGATTATATGAATATAATATTTATGAACCAACATCATTTCTTAAATTTTTTCTTTTTTGGGAGCAGAATTTTTTGTTATGCTAATTTTTCAAAAATGAACAAAGCAGTCCTAGTGTTTAAAATACATGTACATTTTGAAATATGAAAAAAATGTTATATGAAGAATTAAGTATTTTTTGCCAGTTGTGTAAACTGAGATATTTTTGTGACATCAATATTTCAGACTAATTGGGCAAGGTTTAATAAATGCGCATTTTCACTTTCAATACACTGTTAAATTTTAAAATTGATTGTGATAAACTTGGCAAATATTTTGTGAAATTTAATCCTTTGCAAAAATTTCAGATTTTACATTTTTGTTTTACATCCTTCAGGCAGAGAATGTGTGTCTATAAGGGCGATAATTTTATCAATATCATTTTCATTAAAACAGAGTGATCGTGTTGAATTCGAGATTAGATTCTGCTCATAATGTTTTAAGCAAATTTATGGAAAAAATATTTGGTCAAGTGACAGGACAGAATAAAATGTATAATGCAAATGATGGTAAAAGAAAAAGATGAATCAGTAACACCTCTTTATTTCATGCTTTCCAGTGTTTTATTGTAATATATCAGATGATTATATTCTGAAAAACCACTAGTGAAATTTATAAAATATAATTTTCACTGTAGCCGGACTATATCTGAATGCGGATGAAAAGAAAATCATAACTAAATGGAATAACAGGCAGAAATTAATGCCGTCGTGCGTAAATTTTGCTTCCTCAGGAAAAGAAAGTCGATGTCATCATACAGCATGTTAAAAACGTAACAAAATTAAAGAAATTTTACAGACCTATATTTCAAAATTGATTATGTGACGTCATGATGTGATGACGTCACAAAGGAGAATGCGTGACGTTACGCGGCAAAACCAGTAAAAAAATACTTAAAATCACTTAAAAAGCATGAAATAAAAAGAAAATTTATTTGTTTTACATATAAGATTGAAAAATATTTCATTCGTGTACACCAGCTATTATATTTTCACTCGTGGCTACGCCACTTGTGAAAATATTGCATCTGGTGTTCACTCAGTGAAATTATATTTCAATCTTACATGCAAAACAAATAAATATCCTCTATGTAATATGGCATACATAACACTAGGTATCATTTAGAAACAGACATTTTGAATTTGCTCACTTGTTATAATAATTTTTTTGCAAAGGTGATTTTTTTAGGTTGTTTAAGATTCTTTTAATTATTGTTGTTTTGTCTTGGGTTTTAATGTATATAATTATGCTTTAGTTTTGTTTTTCCATCAGCAAAATAAAATGTACTGATTGGCATTTTCAGGTGAAATTTTGCTTTTTCACAGTATGTTGGATTGTTAAAGCTGCTTTTTCACCCCACACCCTCCTCTGTTTGTGCAATGGGCTTGTCCTGCTAAGAATTTGGAAAAATTCATTATTAGTTTCAAGGGGATTCAGTATTAAAATGTTTAAGATCCTGTATGTTGTGATTGAGGTTGTATACCACACTTAAGTGAAATTATATATATGTATATAATTATCCTTGTGAAATAATTTTCAAACATTGAAGAATATGTAAAATATGTACTGCAAATTTTTGTACATTTTGAATGTAATCATTAAAATATAATTATGCATTCATTTCTTATTGAAAAATTTGACTTTATACTTTATAGAAAATAAATTTTTTATTACCTCCCTTTATTGACATGAAATGTTAAATTTGGTAATATCTTTATAAATAGTGCTTTTTGGAACTTAAAAAATTAATAAATCTTAATTTGAGCATCATATTTATGATGCAAAACCATAAAAAAAATTGTGTTACAGGATCTTTAAAACTAAGTTGTAGCATGAATAGGAGAACTTAGCAAGCATGAATAGGAGAACTTAGCAAGCATGAATAGGAGAACTTAGCAAGCATGAATAGGAGAACTTAGCAAGCATGAATAGGAATGCCTGCCTGGCTCAATACTGGACACATGGGTGATTAAACATCTTGGCTAGAGATATAATGGATTAGATAATCATGATTATTGTGGTTTTTGTTCCACTTTGTTGTGTTTTTTTGTATTACTTTGCATGCATAGATATTTAAATGTAACTATGTATATATGTGTCATATTGATTCAATTGAGTAAGATATGTTATATTTTATTAATTGTATATTTTTCCAAATACATTTTGAATGATTTCTTGTTGAGAATAATTATAGTAATTTATCAATTTTTATTGGTGCTTATAGATAAGAAATTTGGTTGGTGTCAGATTTATTCCATGTTTCCAACAAACAAACAAAATATATGTGTACATGAAATTTTCATTTCCTGCTTATAAATGAAATACATTTTCCACAGTGATTGATAAGCATGTTTATTAGATGATATAGAATATATTGAACTAAATGTTACACAGTAAATTGTATAGAACAAAATGAATTAGTATAGAAAACAGCGATTTTTATAAGCCATAAACAGCATTAAATATATATTTTATGATTATAGTATAGCAACTATTTGTATGCTACCAGATTTATTTCCTGGTAGATCATAAGTTATACATGTATATAAGTCACCACTTTGCCTTCCTTCTGTTGCTCTGTCCTTCTGTCATTTAGTTGAAGTTATCTACCATTCCTCATAGCATCTAGTTTTAGCTCACCTGTCACAAAGTGACAGGGTGAGCTTTTGTGATCGCTTTTCGTCCGGCGTCCGTCCGTCCGGCCGTAAACTTTTACTTTAAATGACATCTCCTCATAAACCACTAAGCCAATTTCATCCAAACTTCACAGGAATGTTCCTTTGGTGGTCACCTTTAAAAATTGTTCAAAGAATTTAATTCCATGCAGAACTCTGGTTGCCATGGCAACCGAAAGAAAAAACTTTAAATATCTTCTTTTAAAAAACCATAAGAGCTAGAGCTTAGATATTTGGCATGAAACATCTTCTAGTGAGTGTCTACCAAGTTTGTTCAAATAAAAGCCCTGGGGTCAAAATTGGCCCCGCCCTGGGGGGGGGGGGTCATTGATTTTCCCTATATGCATATAGTAAAAACTTTAAAAAATCTTCTTTTAAAGAACCAAAAGAGTTAGAGCTAAGATATTTAGCATGAAACATCTTCTAATGGGTGTCTATCAAGTTTGTTCAAATAAAAGCCCTGGGGTCAAAATTGGCCCCGCCCCAGGGGGTCATTGATTTTCCCTATATGCATATAGTAAAAACTTAAAAATTCTTCTTTTAAAGAACTCAAAGAGCTATGGCTAAGATATTGAGCATGAAACATGTTCTAATAGGTGTCTACCAAGTTTGTTCAAATAAAAGCCCTGGGGTCAAAATTGGCCCCGCCCCAGGGGGTAATTGATTTTCCCTATATGCATATAGTAAAAACTTAAAAAAAACTACTTTTAAAGAACCAAAAGAGTTAGAGCTAAGATATTTAGCATGAAACATGTTCTAATAAGTGTCTACCAAGTTTGTTGAAATAAAAGCCCTAGGGTCAAAATTGGCCCCGCCCCGGGGGGTCATTGATTTTCCCTATATGCATATAGTAAAAACTTAAAAAAATCTTCTTTTAAAGAACTCAAAGAGCTATGGCTAAGATATTTAGCATCAAACATGTTCTAATATGTGTCTACCAAGTTTGTTCAAATAAAAGCCCTGGGGTCAAAATTGGCACTGCCCAAGGGGTCATTGATTTTCCTTATATGTGTATAGCAAAAACTTAAAAAATCTTCTTTGAAAAAACCCAAATAGCTAGAGTTAAGATATTAAGCATGAAACATCTTCTAGTAAGTGTCTACAAAGTTTGTTCAAATAAAAGCCCTGGGGTCAAAACTGGCCCGGCCCCAGGGGTGTCATTGTTTTTAACTATATGTGTATAGTAAAAACTTTAAAAAAATCTTCTTTTAAAAAGCCCAATGAGCTAGAGCTTAGATGTTTAGCATGAAACATCTTCTTATGGGTGTCTACCAAGTTTGTGCAAATAAAAGCCCTTTGGTTAAATTGGCCCTGCAACGTTGGGGGGGGGGGCCTTTATACAGGTGAGCGACCTCAGGGGTAGACTTGCTCCTGAACAAAATTAAGAATATTTGAGGTTTTCTCAGCTTATTCTGGAATACAAACAAATTTTTACTGTTAAAACTGTATGAATAAGTGCAGCAGGTTGTGAATGCTAATGCACATAGAAGCTGTTATTCTAAAAGTTTGTTAAGCTTGGAAAAACTGACATTTTAGGTTCAGATAAAAACTGTTAACTGATTTTGTAGACATTTGATTTGTGATAGCTTACATTGAAGCAGACACATAGATGGCCTGCTTTCAGGTCATGAGCAAAGGTCAAAGTCACTAGGACTAAAATAGATTTTCGTCATAGGGAAGCCTGGTACTTTATCATTTTTGAAGCAGCATATTGAGTCAAGTCAAGTAAATTTTATTTATTAGTCGGGTTTCAGATAACAATAAACATGAGGAGTATTCATTGTGGTTACCTGGCACACTTGATGAGGAAATGGTTACATAAGTATTACTGACCCTAATTAGCTTGTATGCAAGTTATAATATTTTTATCTCCTTAAATGTAAACATCACAGTGGACAACATTTACATGACAAAAATGTACTAAAAATAGGTTTTACTAAAAACTTTCTGAAGATGGGGGAGATGGATCATAGTTTATATTAAAAAGTACTGATATTTGTTGATATGATAGTTACTGATGTTTGTTGATATTAATAAGTTTATTTGGGTTTGTAATTCTTACAAAGCCTATTTTTCTTGCAAAGGAAGCATTAAGGAAAGTTTCTGTTATTCCATTTATTTCCATTTACAACATTTTATTGCTTGATTGAAATTATTTATGACCGTTATTTTCCAGTATATCAGCATTTTATTAATATCTGAACTGTTATGAATATATTGCAAGTTTTAAATATGTGTACATTTGTTTATATTTTATATAAATGTCAAGGTTATGTTTTATTTTGATGGATTATTCTGAACAGTCATTTAACAACTCATTTATAGTAGAATTTTAGTAAAAAATGGTGTGATAATGATTGAGGGTAAGAAAAGTATCAGTTCCTTTGAATATATGGTAGATTCTGTCTTCATCATGGAAAATGATGTCTTTTTCTCATGTTTTTATTATAATATACACAATTAACATATTCATATTTACTGTTTTGTAGTGACAAATGTGAACAGTGTTGGTTCAAAGACACATTTAACTTATAAGCCTCAAAAAATGAATATGTTTTTTTTTTCTTTGGCAGGAACCGGTGTTCTAATTTTTGATGTAATGTATTTAGTGTATGTTAGATGCTTATAATTGCTATTCAATGTGAAATAATTTGTTATAAAAGTATTGGAACATAAACAAAGTGTAGTTTCATCTTCAATACAAAATATTATCCTTACTATAAATGGCAAAAAAGCAAAGGATGGTTTATCTATATGGCCAGTGAGTGTCAAAAACCAGAACATTAGAAATAAAAAGTTTTTGAGAAATAGAAATATTAGCAAAAGAGCCTTCTATACTAATGATTGTTTTTTGGTTTTATGTGATGTAACTATGTACAAAATGTAGTTATGAATAAAATTTCTCTAGCATAAACTGGCAACTGGCAAGGCTATTGAAAACCATGAGCATTATTAATTGCAATCTGTATTTGTAAAGCTTATAATTTGTACATACCGTGATATAATTAAATATTTGGTTCAGGCTTAAAATTATGTTCCACTGTCATTACCATGTATGTTTTACTGTAAGTGTATTTTGTTATGGTGTTTTTGTTTGATTTTTGTTTATGTTTATCTGTAAAGTAATAATATTCAGATTTTACTGAAGGACTGTTCTATTCTGTCTAAAGTGGGCTGTAATATAATGGGACTTAGCA